AGTGTTGCAAGTCTACAGACATACCACTGGGGGGCGTAAGAACAGATGCCATTGATTTTAGCTTGGGAATATCTAACTTATAAGCAAGTAAATCTTTAGAAATTTAGAAGATAATATAAGGGTGGAAAAAAAAATCTAAAATGTACAATTCAGAGCAAAGAAGTGTAACATGATGGTGAAAAAAGTGTAGACTAAGAACTTGTTTAAATATCTCCTTTTAAAATTAAGAATTTAAGTAGAGTTACGTTTTTATACTAAGTTTATTGATATACATTTATAATGCCATAGTTTAATTAGATTTTGAATATTACAAACAAGAAAAAAAGTCATGCACTTTGACCAACCCGTACCTAGAGGGTTAAGAAGAAGTTTTTATATTTTAAATTCTGTCTGAGACGTATTTTACAGTTAACATCATGTTACACAACAATTGATTCTTCTATTAAACAATGCTATTTCATTGTGATTTCTGTCATTTTTAAAGAGATGTAATTTAGCCATTCCATAAGAACTTAACCGTCCAAACTCAATTTCTTTCCTCGGGACAAAAGTGGTTGTGAAAAGGTTAATATTGAAATGAATATTTTTATCTTTTAAGTGATTAACTCAAAGTGTATATGATGATGCAAAAATTGTGACCCACCATGATTTTTGTAAGTTCTGGTCATATAACTGAATTGTGTCTCATTGATATCATTACACGATCACTTCCACAAGTTGTTGCAATATTAACAATATCTCAAAAACACAAGCAAGACTTTGGAAAGTCATGGAGGTGTACAACTTTAGGTATTACCTGGGCTTCTCGTTGTGTTTTAATATCTGTTTATAAATTAGTTTTACATTACAACAGTTATGTTAGGTGAACATGTAAAAGTTGTACTACAGAGGCCACATTTTATTTCATACTTTCATAAAATAGCAACAATTACTTCAAAATGAAGTTTTATACAATTTCTCATCAGTAAAACTTCCACATTGGGGAGGATTTTGTCGACTGATACTATATATAGGACTTAACATTAGAATTTCCAATGGGATCCATATAAAAACAGCATTGATACTGCATTTAAAACCAAAAGTTACTGTTGGATTTCCTTTACCAAATCGTTATGGTCAGTTATTTACAATGAGTAATGTGATTGGCAATAAAACATATCATGTGATGCCCCCCACCACTTATGGTGGGCAGTTTAAAAATAAATTAGGAATTTGAGGGTCAGCCTTAAAAAAACATTGGACTTCACATGATTAGCCGGACCACGTCATGCTGATGTTTATGTGATGAATAGCAACATGTGCAACATATCATATACGTAAGTAACTAATAGGTATTTTGGAGAAAGTTCCAATATTTCCTGGACTTTTTTTTCTATTATTAAATTAACAACTGTTTAGTTGATATATTCAGTTACTTTTTGTTAAGAGAAACATCTTACCTGCTCCTGTTCCACGTATGTTAAAGACCTAGATAGGACTATACAAAACTATTAACAAGTTAAGGTATTACACATACAATATCATTTCAGTACCACAAAATGTAAATTAGTTACTTTTAGTATACAGAACTTTTGTTATCCTAAAACAACAACACCTGATCTAGAGGTCCCTTCGACATAACAGTCTCACTAGAGACTACTCTTGGCTTAGTAAGTAGATTCTCGTGACCAGTTATTGAAATACCACTGTGATGTGATCATACTTAATGTGTGGGACACATTATCTTTCAGAGTTTACAAAACATAAAATAACGGGTAAATATTTTATATTTTTCTGATTAATCTGTTGTTTCAAAATGCTCAATATAGGACTTTTATAACATTGAAAAATAAGTTGGAGGTGTTGAACAAGTAATCATTGGTGTAGGAAATTGTATAGTTTTATTATAATCATAAAACAGAAAAAGGTTAACATTTCAAACAGTAGCAGGACATTTATGTTTTACTGATCAGCTAAGAATGAAGATGGGAGTTTTATCGCAAACTTGGGATAACGAAAGGCAGAAATACGTAACGGGGTTTATTGCAGTATTTTAATAGAAAGATGTAGATGGATGATTTCATTGAAAATATGAATATTTGTTGTTCAAAATTAGTCCTAGTTATGAAATATTTCTCATACACTTGTAGGTTACAACTTTATTAGTTAATGTCTACTGACAGGCTTATGTACAGGAGTATAAAGTAGCAGAAAAGCTAACAATAAACCAAACACAAAAATATACTATGATAGATACAAAGAGTCAACTTTGAACAATAAGGCATTTCTTTAATGTCCACAATAACATGTTACATCAGTTGTTTAAATACAAAAACTGTAATGAACTGAAAGTTTTTAACTTTTAAATACATTATCAAGATTTTAAGTATAAAAATTTCTTTAACTGTTGATGATCAGATTCTTATTTTAATATATATACAAAATTATTTCATGTGACAATCAAAACAGTAAGAATATAAAAGAAACATTTCATTAGACTATGGCAGTGAAGTAGACCATGTCACGGCTCTTGGCTTCCTTCACTAATAAATGCTCTTGCTAAATTCCTCGTTAAAGCCAACCGTAACAAGTCTTCTTTCTCTTTTAACCCTGGTGGCTGCAAACAAAACAAGAGAGACTGTCTTACTTCTTGGCATGTTAAAGAAAAAGTTTATCAACATCAACTGTATCATTAATAAGATAGATACACAGTCGTGATATAGAAGTGGAGTACAGAAACAGCCAGATGCTCAAGTTATTAAGATAGATACACAGTCGTGATATAGAAGTGGAGTACAGAAACAGCCAGATGCTCATACTTCTATATCACGACTGTGTATCTATCTTAATAACGGACAATGGAAAGAGTCCAATGTTTAGTATTTTTGTATCCTCAGTGTTTCTTGGCTTTCCATGGGTTTTTAGAAGAGTGGAACTAGTTGTGAAATGTATTTACTATTCTGTAATTCAGTAGTCAAAATAAACGAAATAAATATAATTTTGTAGTCTACAAATCCCAAAATATGACATTGGAGTTCTTAACTTCACTGCAAAATGTGCTTTTTATTTTAACCATTTCCAAGATGTCTATACAACATGAAAAAAAATAATAAAATACTGCAATCTGGTTATGAGTGTTATTTTCCAGGTAACTATGTAATTGGATGCCCTGGGGTATTTTTTATCTTGTATCCCTTAATACTTTCTGGTTCCAGAACATAAGAAACAGAGAAATTCTGTGACAGGATGAACAGTCTTCTTTGAAACAGGATGACTCTTACAACATCTGATGGAAACTATTTTTTTTTTATATGTTTTGTTTCATTTTTTCCCTAGTAACTATAGCTCTTTATTTTGCATTTGGAATTGAAACTGGAGCAGTTTAGAAATATTTTGAACCCTGTTGCAAGACTCTGGAATCTAAATTCTTGCTTTAGTGTTAACAAATGCTACCTCCTTCCTCTATAATCTGTGTATAATACAAATATAAGTCCATATATCCGAGTTTTTAATATAATGTAAACAAGTGTGTGTATTTATGGATAAACAAGAACACTCAGTACACTAAACAATATATATATATTATGGAATTTCATGCTCATGTTGTGAATTTATATGTATTGTGCCAATTCCATTAGCACCAAGGTTTACATTATGTCCTTTCAAATTTCTTAAGGATTTCATTTATTTATGAATTTTTTAAGTGGTTTAAATAATCCTATCTGGTTTATACATTTTTAATCATATAATTAGCTAGTCTCCAAACAGTTCATTTTGACTCCTACGACCATTCCAGCCTTCTATTCTTGAGTTCACACAAACAAATAAAATTAGGAAGTCAACACAAGGTTGACATTAAAGCAATAGATCCCTAACTACCCAGGTAATGGGTCTACAGCAACGGATCCCTACCTACCCAGGTAATGGGTCTACAGCAACGGATCCTTACCTATCCAGGTAATGGGTCTACAGCAACGGATCACTAACTACCCAGGTAATGGGTAAACAGCAACGGATCACTAACTACCCAGGTAATGGGTCTACAGCAACAGATCAGTAACTACCCAGGTAATGGGTCTACAGCAACAAATCTGTATAGTGTACATTTCAGGTATTCATTAGAATCAAGAATACACACTTATACATGAACCCTGCTGTTGGACTGTGGGGTCCATTTTTTTATTGTTTTTTGTATTGCTTAATGCTCTTCCATAATCTGTTTAGTATTAAATATCATCCAAAAATGGACCCCACAGTCCTATAGCAGGGTTCAAAATGGACCCCACAGTTGTACAGCAGAGTTCAAAATGTTTCTAAGACTCTTCTATTGATTGAAAGTGGATACTGGAGAAATGGGAACAAACTATATAAAAATGCATTCAGATAGCTCTGTAGGTACAAGAGAAATGGGGAATAAACAATACGAATATGGAAGTTTACACTGGAGGCTGTACTGAGTTATCCTGTTTTGGAAACTCCTGTTTATTATATAGATGGAATTCCTCTCTGGATTTTAGTATCCTGGAATCATAAAATATTAAGGCATACAGAATAATTACATACAGTATTCTGGTGCATGTGACAATTTATCAAAGGTGAAAACTAAATTAAGGCTCATAACCAAATTACAACATTTGGTTTTTCATGTGATGTGGTTATCTTAGAAAATGTTCACACTGGCCAACAGAGTTGGCAACTCCAGTCAATTCCACTTCGTCAGACTACAATATTGTACTGAATTCATTTTGCTATACTCTACGCAAGATATCTCGATACGTAGATCCATTTTGGGATGTTAGTCACAGGTCAATTCCACGTACTCACAATAAGTATATTGCAGTATACCATGCTTGAGGTGAAAAGAAACCCTGTAGAATACAACCGAGTCGAGCAAAACAAATACAGTGATCTTGTATAGCACTGACAATACAAAGACCAGAGAACCCTTTTTGTTATGTTCCAGCTGATGAAAGGGCATGTCACACTATTAATCTAAGTTTCATTTGATGTTGGTTTCAGTAGCAGACAGACCTTCCAACTGATGTACTGTTTAGAAGAGCTACAGCAAAAAACAGACAAGGTAGGTTCAGTTTCAAGAAAAACCTCCTATCAGGTGCAGTTATGTTCCAGCTGATGAAAGGGCATGTCACGCTATTAATCTAAGTTTCATTTGATGTTGGTTTCAGAACGACCAAAGTTATATGGCAGGAATATTGATATTAATAGCCAAATGCAATGGTAATATATATATATATATAAAAATGCACCTGATAGGAGGTTTTTCTTGAAACTGAACCTACCTTGTCTGTTTTTTGCTGTAGCTCTTCTAAACAGTACATCAGTTGGAAGGTCTGTCTGCTACTGAAAACAACTTCTTCACTTTCCAGCAGCGGTAAGGCATCAAATAATAAGGTCACCCAGAAACTGGACAAGAAAGAAAGACTGGCTGGAATACGTACCATAAATGTTTATTACACCTGTAGAACTTGTTGTGAGGAAAACAAATCTAATATACATTATAATTAAAGTCCAGAGGCACAGCTTTTGAATGGATTGTCGCCATAACTCAGGTTACCTGATGATCGCCACACGAGTGGTCAAACAAAAAATAAAAATAATCCACTCCAAAGCTCTGGACTTGTATTTCAATCTGTAGAATGTTTTAACTAATACATGACATTATATAAAATCCAGATTTTGTTTCTTATTCAGCATAAACAATGTACTCTTTGACAAGATAAAATAAATTTGAGAACAAAAGGTTGTTTTAATAATACATGATACGTACTATTTAGGAGCGAGACGGGAGGCTAACAAAGACACTAAGAGAGCTGATGCTTCCTTAAATTCCTTCTCCTCGTACATCTTGTGAAATTCACGGTATTTTCCTAAAGAAAAGATAATCTAGAAAGTGATTTTTTTCACACGCAACCTTTCATTTCTTACACGTGATAATATTTCCTTTCATAAAGTATCAATTGAATCCAAAAAGTCCTTGTTTAGTGTTGAAATGTGTATCTCATAAACCCTTTAAAAACAGAAATTACATTAAAAACTTACCTAAAAAAGTTAGACGGTCACTGACTAACATACAAGAGCCCAAGTTGTCCAACAAGTCCGGACTCGTAAATTGACCACTTTCACTGTATTCAACGAGAAATCTATGAGGGTAAATCATGGATGTGTTTAGTTTCTTCTTGAAATATTTTTTAACACGAGTTAAAGATAACTTGTTTATCAGCTGTATTAAATATAAGACTTTCCAGAAAATCCAACTTGAAAACTAATTCAATGATTGTCATACCATAATTTGTTCATGTAAGTTTTATGCTGACAAAAAAGTTTTGATAGGACAATATTATTTAAAATAAATAATATTTAAAGAAGTTGAAAATCAAAACCAATACCTACTTGTCAGCAAGGACCGAGGCAAAACCAGCATCCTGAAAGTGAAACAAGTTAGTAGATTAACATGATTCAGATTTATTAATAACACAATACATAAAAAAATAACCAATAATAATTATAAAAGCAAGATTTACAACATCTTTTGTATCTCAGAATTACGGAAAGTGGTAACCCTAAGAATACAAATGTCACTGAAATCAACACCAAATGTTTGGAGATTAGTATGGTTGGATGAGAAAAAATCAAGAAATAGAAAGAACTGTTTAGAGATTGGCATGGTATACGAGTAAAACTAAGAACCAGATATTCTTTAGACAACTTGAAGAGTCTATAAATAAATAAATTACTTTAAAATACTACATTAACAAAAATCTTGGTGCCTAATGTAATAAGCATAATGTACATTGACCACAATGACACGAAAACAAAATTAACGTGTGTGTGTATATATAATTAGATAAAACTATAAAATTGAAGAAAAAACAAAGCATGTAGTATCCAAATTTAAAAAAATCTCTGGAATTAAC